TTTTTTTTAAAAAAAAAACAAACCAAAAACAAACCTGTTCCAAAAAAAAAGAACCCATAAAAACAAAAAATAAAACACCACCCTGGATTAGGGCTGAGTGATAACTGTGACTTGCTGGTTCTTCTGCAAACAGCAATGTCCTCCAAACAGTTCAAGGAGTGCTGTAGTAAGGTTTCATAACCCCATTAACTACAGAAGCCGTAATGCACTGCTAGCATATGCGTGTAAAATATGCAGAACAAATTATAGATGATAAATATAGATCAAAAATACATTTAGAACTATTGGTTTTCAATGCATTATTTTGGTTTCTTTTCAGCAAAATCTGAGAGAATTATTTTCACCTGACACAAACTGGGAACATCCAGCTGCATCACCACCAACATAGCGTGACCTGGAAACATACCCTTTTTGCAGCATTAGGTTACGGCAGCCTAAGCCGCTCGATGCTTCCAGTAAACAGAGGTTCAAGCGTTCAGGCACTAGGAAGGCAAAGTTATAACACTAATTTATCTACCTGTTGCAGCTAGCACTGCAGGAATCCAGTCCGCTTTCCAGCAGGTTTTCAACACAATCCTACAGGAGCTATCCCAGCTACCAGGTTCTCTTGATCAGACAAAGAACTTGGTAAGGAACAAGTTCCTATCACACACTGTCACAGAGCACCAGCCTTTCAGAGTCATACATCAAGGGGAGAACAGTGGAGAGTGGCATATGATTATACAAACATTAAAGGACCTTTTTGGAGCAGTTAAATGAGGCTGCCCCTTGGATGTTGCTTATGGCCATCCTTCCACATCTCCAACCCTCTAACTTGTGTTTGGTCATGCTTAACTTGCTCTAGGTGGCGTTACTGAAAGAAGCTGGCTACAGCTTGGTACTACTCACACACCTACTTGGCAGGCAGCATCCAGATAAATCAACGCTTGTTAATGCTTCTCAGAATTTCCCGAGACCTACAGGATATTCTTTCACAATCTATTTGAAGAAACCGAGGCTTGCTCCCATTGCTGCCTCACAGAGAACCATCAGTGTGCACCCAGAAGTCCTAATAACATCCTTGGGGCAGGTGGGATCACCATTAACTGAGTATAGATTCTCCAAATGGCTGTTCAAACGCTGACCAAATCAATGTCAGCATTGATTAGCTGACTTAGCACTGAATCAACAATGGCACGCTCACTGTATCAGAGACTTATTTATAGAAGTAATTCTCCGGTTTACTATTCTCCTGCTTACTTATTTCTTATCCTGTACCATGATTTTAGAAATACAGAAAAGGCTCTTGAACACTCAAGTATAGGCCCTAACTTTTCAGAATAACATGAAGTTATGTAGTCCTCCCGCTTATACTTTGTACACAGAGTCTTTAGTCTTTATATCAAGTCTTAATCACTGTTGGTATCGTGCCTATCTACATGCCTTCCTGGTAGATGCAATTGCCCAAGTCTTTTCAAATACTTTTGAGACCCTTGTCTTAGCCTCACCCTAACAGGCACCTTCTGCTGTTGCTTATGGTCATGCCAGCCCAGGCTTCCTACTTTCTAGCTTCACCTATAAGCAGCGAGAGGGAACCGTTTTGACAGGAGATGCCTGTTCTTACCTTAGCTCTCCCAGTGCTCTGAAGAATGTGCACCAAAGCACAAGCCATCTCTTCCTTATTCCTTACACTGATGACAGGTTCCAGCACAGAGCACAGCATAGTGTAGTTGCTGGTAACAAACTCTGCAAATTCTTTGTATTGCTCCATGGGCAAGATGGTGATGGTCTGATAACGGGACTTTATCCGAATGGAAGGTCCCCCTGATTTCCCTTTGTTGGGTGTAGGTGTGCTGACTGGGTACCATTTTTCCACAAACTGGCGACCGGTTACACTGGCCATGGGAATGTTGACCAGGCCTACGTAATTGTTCTTGTCCTTTTTCTTCTTCTTCTCCACATCCTTGTAGATGTGAACTGTGATGCTGTGAAGAGGTGGGAGACCGTAGAACTCAAAGTGCTCTCCCCAGAAAATGTTGTCCGCTTTTGTTTTGCTGGTGGTGCGGGCAAAGAGAGTGTCATCAAGGCACAGCTCACAGAAGTATTTCTTCTTGGGGGCCAGGTCCTTTGCCTCAATGATCCAGAGACGGAGCACATTTTCAGCCCGACGGCAGTTGTCCTGTGCAGAAGAAAGAGCTCAGCTTTGATTCAGAATCCCTAAAAACTGAACATTTTGTCTTCTAAAGCAGCAGCAAAGGGCTGCCTCTTTTGCGTCCAAGGCAGGGACAGGATCAGAATTCAGCATCAGATTCTCTGATCTTCAGAATCAGAATCTCTAGAAAATTGGCTATTTTCTAAAGTAGAGGCAAGGGGCTGTCTTTTGTATGCCAAAGGTGGGGACTAGAACATTCTTCTTCTCAAAAAGCTGTATTTGAAATGGTTTGGAAAACAAACACTCTGCACAGGAGCCCCTCAAAAGCCGCTAGGCTGGCATGGCATTGTTTACTCTTGTGAATAACTCCAAGAGCACTGTTAGCCTCTCCCTTGAAGGTGGTATGTTAACTATGGAGATGACTTACCAGATATTTCCAGCTGATCAGTAATTCGACCCCCCTTCTGACCGGCTCAAACTCCTATTGTGGTTTTTTTTTTCCCCAAACTGTGTCCCCCACAGCAAAACATGAAACCTAAGAAGCCATGTCCCATCTGTCTGAGGTGCATAGTATCAGAAATCCAGTCTGAAACATCATAAGCAGGCACCAGGGCAGGGATCGGGAAGCATGCCGACATGTATTTATTCATTAAAGGGTTGACCTACTGCACTCACTAGAATAGTACACAGCAGCTTTTGATACGCTGATGAGCGGACTTCTCCCCAGACTAAATTAATTGCGCATGCATCTCTGGGAAGCCCTGGTACACTGGACTAAAATCCAATCATACCACCTCCATTCCCTCGGTAATCTTATTTCCGCAGTTCCTATTACCTTATTGGGCTGCACTGTTCTGCGTAGGTTTTCCATCCACTTGTCCCTCTCTGCTGCAGAGGAACAGCTGAAGCATTTACTGCCACTGGAGTAGGTTACCTGGAACATATAAATGAGAGGCTGAGTTCAGGCAAGCCTGGGAGACATGTAAGAGGCTGCAAAAAGCAAGGAAGAAGATAAGCAATGCTTGAGCTACAAAGTAAATATGAAAAAGGCAGGAAAACAATATGGGAGCCTAGAAGGCAGAGAGGTTAAGGCCCACAAAATGTAGGAAAAAAAAAAAGTCAGTTCAAATTAATATAAAACTAAAGAAACATGAGAGGCGCACCAGAGGCTCCTTTTAAAGACTTTTAAACAAGTCTTTAATCAACCAGTTAATTTGTTTTGTTTTTTAAAAAAAACTTGTTAATTGATCCATAGCTATGAAATGCTTGCAGTTTTCCCTGTTAAGTCCCAGAGGCAGATGATTTGGTTACTAACAGCGTAAAGACAGACAGAACTAACAATGTATTAATGTGAGGCAAAACATACTGGAAACGGTGTCTTCATTAAATACAAAGTATTTCCAAGGGTCCATATATATACAGCAGCAGTTTAAAACAAACCAAAGGAGTTGTGCTCTAATCCAGCCCTGACACTCGATGCCATAAACAACTCTGCTTTCACGCAGGAGGGAAGCACCTTGGTTTCTTTCACTTTTACGTGGCCTGACAAGCTTCATTTGCTCTTTCCATTCATTTGTGCACACAATTAAAAAGCAGTTTGAGGCAACAGCCTCAGAGCTCAGTTGCTGCCAGTTTTTTCACTCAACTCCCCAAACCTAAGCAAGCCGGAAAGTGCTTCCAACCAGAAGAATGAGACTGAAACGAACAGGAACAGTTCCTGGATACGTCCCGAGGGAGAAGGGCCAGATATGCTGGTTTTCTGCCAGAGCAGTTTCTCAGGTTGTAAACAGATCTGTGTTCCAGAAGTTTAGACGCATCTGACTAATCCTG